CAATTCCATACAAACTCATGCAAATCAAGGACTCTTACCCTATTGGTGGTGTGGTCCCACTGTCCATCTGTCCATCCAGCACCATCTTGTCCTTCTCCAGCTCAGTGACGATCTTATCCATTCTGCTAATCATGCGGTTGACCCGCTTCGACAGACGTTGGCTTGCTTTAGACTCCTCCACCACTTTCTCCTGTCCTGTTTTGGACAGCTCTCGCTTGATCTCCTCCAGGTCCTGTAGAGAGACGTAGTGGCTATCACATGTTTAAATGCTTGTTCCAGAAATGAAAATGGACCGTTGCTTTATGGTACACACCTCACTGTACTCCTGCACATCATCCTTCAGGTCCTCCAGCTCCTCTTTCTCTTTGGTGAGGAGATTCTTCTGCCCCTTCAGTTTGGTGCAGGCATCACTCAGCATGTCAATCTCTTCCTTAGTGATCTCCTCCCCCTGAAAAAAAAAAAGACACACAGCATCCATCAACACTCTTGCTAGGGAACACGCACACATTTTCATACATGCACAACAGTGTAGGGGAACCTTTGAATCAGTGGTAGACTACAGTTAAGATAAATTCTCAGCTTGCTCTGTTGCAAGAGATGCTTTGTCAAGCTACATCTTTTTCTCCCTAAACTTTTGAATGGTTGTGTAACTTATTGTAAAAGTGATGCTAGTTGCTAGTATATAAGTTACTCCCCAACTCTGATGCAGAGAGATAAAGAGGTTGCTCTTTTATAAGAGGATCAGTCAGAGGAAAGGAAGGTCTTCCATACAACAAAGGTGATTACAGAAAGGTCACTAAAACCAACTGAAACACATTGTAGGGCTAATTCAGTGGGTCTCTGAGTAACATAAAACAAACACCCATGAGGATTTGCTGCATGTTTCATTTGCAATGCGCTACAGACACATACTCAAAGGAATAGTGTGTTGGGGTGAAGTGGAAAGGAGGATGCAGGTATAACCACACAAAAAGCTTCTGCTCTTTCAAATCACTGTATTCACTCAATATTATGTATTATATTATGCTAAAAATTAAGAAGCCTTACAAGAGTCTAAGTCTAACCCTAGTCGAAAAGTTCTGATTATGAAACTGTAAATGTGGGAAAAGCACGCAGGAAAGTGACTAGGAGAGCAGAGCGTCAGTGTGGTGGTGATCTCCAGATGGAGAGCAGTTCAGCATCTAACCTGAATGCGCAGATACCTCTGCCACTGCTTAAACTGAAGAAATAAACACGCAAAATCATACACAACACAAAAACAGAGAAAGAGCGGTTCCTGTGACATGAATGCACAAGATCCTGTTCTACAACACAATCAAGTCAGAGAAGTGAATTAGCTGGACTATTTTTATTGAATGATTTCAGCTAAAGAAAGTTAAACTTATACTACCATATTATGTATTAAGTATATCAACACATTCAACAGCATTGGATGTTTCAGATTTTCCCAATTCAAGCAGAATGGGCCTATACTTTCTTGTTTGTAACCATGACAGAAAATAGCTGACTGAAGGCATTGCCAAGATTGGCTGAGTGACTTGCCTTAAAAGGGTTATAAAACACTTTATAATAGCTTTCATTACTCATTAACAAATACTGTTTTATAATGCTTGACAGATTATCAGTAATACACACTACTGTTTCAAAGGTTTGGGGTCAGTAAGATTTTTTTAAATTGCTTTTAATTGCTCTTATGCTCACCAAGGTTGCCTTTATTTGATCAAAAACGCAGTAATAACAGTAATATCGTGAAGGATTATTCCAATTTACAATAACTGTTTTCTATTTTATATATTTAGAAATGTAATTTATTCCTCATTTTAATTTGCAGATTTGGTGCTCAAGAAACATTTCTTAATATCAATGAATACAAAGTTCAAAAGAACAGCACTTTTTGATCATTATAAATGGCTTTGTCACTTTTAGTTTAATGCATCATTTGCTGAAAAACAGAAATATTAATAAAAAATAAAAAATTAATTAAAAAAAACGACTGACCCCAAATTTTGATCCGTAATGCACATTTAAGTTCCTAACAAATGTTGTGTGTCGTGTGTGTGTGTGTGTGAGAGAGAGATTGTCTTACCTTAATACCCTCCAGCACTGGTGCAGTATCTCGTAGTGTTTCTGAATGGATGGCCACATCTACACTGGAGAGAGCATGCTCTGCATCCTCCCGTCGTTCTGCTTCCAACTCCACCACCTCAGCCTCCTGGAAACACATATAAAACCTTCCATGAACATTTCAACTATACCACAGGTATGACGCAGGAATCACTGTCAGACTGAAAGTGACTAATGACCCGCGCGGCCTGTTCCTTTTCTTTCTCTGCAGCATCAGCCAGTCTCTCCAGGTCCCGCTCTCTGTTTTCCTGCTGGATAGCTGCCTCTTCCTGTAGTGTGGCCTCCAGCTTGGTTTTGTTATCCACTTTAGAGAAGTCCAGCTCTGCCACCTTCACCTGCGCCTCTTTAGTCTGTGAATGCACAAACAAACAACACACTGTCGTCATTACACAAATCTGAAGCACTTGCTACATGTATACAACCATACATTACCCTACATATAATTGTAAATATTCTATATATTGTGCAGTACATACCATAATCTCTGGCAGGTTCTGTAGTGTGGTTTTAAGCTGGTCCGCAGGGGACAGTGTGTCTGGCAGGAACATAGCTCGGGACAGCAGCAGCAGAGATGTGGGGATGTGCAGATTGAGGTGAAGCTCCAACCACTGACATGATCAGAAGTGTGAAATACATGATGAGAAAACCTATTACTAGGAAGTAATCATTGTAGAGGAGAAAAGCAAGTGTTACCTGTTTAAGCTGCTCTCTGAGTCTCTCCTCCGTCACACCCAGAGCTCTCATCCCTCTCACACGACATGCTGCCTGCAGCTCATTCACATTCAGACTGTCCACTCCTTCCTCTGCTATCAGCTATCAATCACACACACGCAAAGAAATCAGCTAGGAATCATCATTCTTAATAGGAATCATGACATTTTAAATTAGAAAGTTGCTAATTGAAAAAAAAATTCATGAAACTCAGAAATTCAATTCATAGAAATTCATATAGAAATTAATGATAATTCTAATTTGCTCTGAATTCTTATACACTAAATATATAATGACATAAGACATTTTACATTTAACTACTTTTATGGTGTTTTTTGTTTTGTTTTGTTTCTTTTTAAAGTTTAACAACTGTGGTCACTATAAATTGATGTTGAATAAATAAAAGTATATACAATACCATTCATCATTTTAATCAGCAAGGATGTATTAAATTGATCAAAAGTGACAGTAAAGACATTTATAATGCCACAAAAGGTTTCCATTTCAAATAAATAATGTTCTTTAGAACTTTCTATTTTGAAACAAATGTGGTCACAAAAATTAACAAGCACAACTGTTTTCAATATTGATAATAAAAACTGTTTCTTGCGCAGCTAAACAGAATATTAGAGTGATTTCTGAAGGATCATGAGACACTGAAGACTGGAGTAATGACTGCTGAAAATTCAGCTTTGTCTCACCACAGTAATAAACAACATATACAGTATATTCATATATTAAATACATATAAAATATACACATTTTACTATATAACCTATACATATTTTACCATTTTAATATATAAGATTTTATGTATATATAGCAAAAAAAGGCTTCTAACACTAACTTGCTCTATTCTTTTTTCTATTCTATCTGTTTTCTTTTTATTTATTATATAATAACTACGTGTACTGCATTACGCTAACAGACTTGTTATAGCACTTGCATATCATTGGTCTTTTGTTAATTTTGTTTGCTTCCATTGTCCTCATTTGTAAGTAGCTTTGGATAAAAGCGTCTGCTAAATGACTAAATGTAAATAAGATTTAACTTATTAAAATATTTAAAAAAAAAATATTTTAATAATGTCATAATATAATATATATATATTTATTTAATATATATCTCTCTCTCATATGAAGACATGTTGGGCAAAGATACTTCTTTCAAAACAATTTAAAAAATTGGAATGTTAAACTGAAAACTGCATATTGTGCTGTACAATCTAACTTGGACAATTATTTCATATTCGATTAAATTATTTAACTTAAAATAGCATACTACTGTTATAAATAAGACAATGCAAAAAAAAATTGACTCTTCTTAAAAACACAATCTCATTTGAGTAAAGACAGGTTCTAACCTTGTCATCTGCACGGATGGCTCGGAGTTTCATGATGAGCTGAAAGCGTAAGAAATTGTTGGTGCCGATGGACTGCAGCTCCAGAAGCTTGCACAGAGCCACCAGCTGCGGCCGTGTCAGGTTATCTAAGGTCAGTTCATCTTCAAACAGTTTAGAGAAACGTATGATCTGCTCATTACTGGGTCTCTCTCCTGAGTCACGGATCTGAGAGAGAAGAGTAAGGGTAAGAGAGAGAAAGTTCTCATTCAAAAAAAGCTCTCATTCATGGTACTTATGAGATAGCATTCATAAGCACCACCACATGGGGGCAATACAGCACTATTTAGAATCACTTGGGAGAAGCAGTAGTGTTGTTTTTTCAGGATGAGTTCTGAGCAAGTGTGACTATGATCTACCTTCTGAAAGAAAGTGGAGAACTCCTCGGTCACGTTGCCTTTGGCTGCTTTGTTTCTTAGTGCAATCTCCTCAATTGTGTCCTGCAAGAACTTGGCCATTTCTAACTTCACTCTCAACTCCTTCTTTAGTCTTTCCTCCTGCAGAGAGAGAGAGAGAGAGAGAGAGAGAGAGAGATGATACAAGGTCAAATAGGTTTGGTACAGGTATTGTATAAGTGGATGCATAAGAGGTGTGACTAGGACAGAAATACAATTAAGGTCTTTACAGATTAAACTCAAAAGGTCAGCGTACCTTTTTGGACTGTGTCTCAAAGGTGGAAGGCAACATGTTAGGGAAAAGTTTCAGTGCAACAGGAAGCAGAAACTCCATAAATGGGACGATGATAAAGACCAGAAAGGGCAGAAGCCGGCTTGCTTTAGACTCCTCCACCACTTTCTCCTGTCCTGTTTTGGACAGCTCTCGCTTGATCTCCTCCAGGTCCTGTAGAGAGACGTAGTGGCTATCACATGTTTAAATGCTTGTTCCAGAAATGAAAATGGACCGTTGCTTTATGGTACACACCTCACTGTACTCCTGCACATCATCCTTCAGGTCCTCCAGCTCCTCTTTCTCTTTGGTGAGGAGATTCTTCTGCCCCTTCAGTTTGGTGCAGGCATCACTCAGCATGTCAATCTCTTCCTTAGTGATCTCCTCCCCCTGAAAAAAAAAAAGACACACAGCATCCATCAACACTCTTGCTAGGGAACACGCACACATTTTCATACATGCACAACAGTGTAGGGGAACCTTTGAATCAGTGGTAGACTACAGTTAAGATAAATTCTCAGCTTGCTCTGTTGCAAGATGACACAATGTAATGAAATCAGCTATGTAATGCTTTGTCAAGCTACATCTTTTTCTCCCTAAACTTTTGAATGGTTGTGTAACTTATTGTAAAAGTGATGCTAGTTGCTAGTATATAAGTTACTCCCCAACTCTGATGCAGAGAGATAAAGAGGTTGCTCTTTTATAAGAGGATCAGTCAGAGGAAAGGAAGGTCTTCCATACAACAAAGGTGATTACAGAAAGGTCACTAAAACCAACTGAAACACATTGTAGGGCTAATTCAGTGGGTCTCTGAGTAACATAAAACAAACACCCATGAGGATTTGCTGCATGTTTCATTTGCAATGCGCTACAGACACATACTCAAAGGAATAGTGTGTTGGGGTGAAGTGGAAAGGAGGATGCAGGTATAACCACACAAAAAGCTTCTGCTCTTTCAAATCACTGTATTCACTCAATATTATGTATTATATTATGCTAAAAATTAAGAAGCCTTACAAGAGTCTAAGTCTAACCCTAGTCGAAAAGTTCTGATTATGAAACTGTAAATGTGGGAAAAGCACGCAGGAAAGTGACTAGGAGAGCAGAGCGTCAGTGTGGTGGTGATCTCCAGATGGAGAGCAGTTCAGCATCTAACCTGAATGCGCAGATACCTCTGCCACTGCTTAAACTGAAGAAATAAACACGCAAAATCATACACAACACAAAAACAGAGAAAGAGCGGTTCCTGTGACATGAATGCACAAGATCCTGTTCTACAACACAATCAAGTCAGAGAAGTGAATTAGCTGGACTATTTTTATTGAATGATTTCAGCTAAAGAAAGTTAAACTTATACTACCATATTATGTATTAAGTATATCAACACATTCAACAGCATTGGATGTTTCAGATTTTCCCAATTCAAGCAGAATGGGCCTATACTTTCTTGTTTGTAACCATGACAGAAAATAGCTGACTGAAGGCATTGCCAAGATTGGCTGAGTGACTTGCCTTAAAAGGGTTATAAAACACTTTATAATAGCTTTCATTACTCATTAACAAATACTGTTTTATAATGCTTGACAGATTATCAGTAATACACACTACTGTTTCAAAGGTTTGGGGTCAGTAAGATTTTTTTAAATTGCTTTTAATTGCTCTTATGCTCACCAAGGTTGCCTTTATTTGATCAAAAACGCAGTAATAACAGTAATATCGTGAAGGATTATTCCAATTTACAATAACTGTTTTCTATTTTATATATTTAGAAATGTAATTTATTCCTCATTTTAATTTGCAGATTTGGTGCTCAAGAAACATTTCTTAATATCAATGAATACAAAGTTCAAAAGAACAGCACTTTTTGATCATTATAAATGGCTTTGTCACTTTTAGTTTAATGCATCATTTGCTGAAAAACAGAAATATTAATAAAAAATAAAAAATTAATTAAAAATTCTCAGCTTGCTCTGTTGCAAGATGACACAATGTAATGAAATCAGCTATGTAATGCTTTGTCAAGCTACATCTTTTTCTCCCTAAACTTTTGAATGGTTGTGTAACTTATTGTAAAAGTGATGCTAGTTGCTAGTATATAAGTTACTCCCCAACTCTGATGCAGAGAGATAAAGAGGTTGCTCTTTTATAAGAGGATCAGTCAGAGGAAAGGAAGGTCTTCCATACAACAAAGGTGATTACAGAAAGGTCACTAAAACCAACTGAAACACATTGTAGGGCTAATTCAGTGGGTCTCTGAGTAACATAAAACAAACACCCATGAGGATTTGCTGCATGTTTCATTTGCAATGCGCTACAGACACATACTCAAAGGAATAGTGTGTTGGGGTGAAGTGGAAAGGAGGATGCAGGTATAACCACACAAAAAGCTTCTGCTCTTTCAAATCACTGTATTCACTCAATATTATGTATTATATTATGCTAAAAATTAAGAAGCCTTACAAGAGTCTAAGTCTAACCCTAGTCGAAAAGTTCTGATTATGAAACTGTAAATGTGGGAAAAGCACGCAGGAAAGTGACTAGGAGAGCAGAGCGTCAGTGTGGTGGTGATCTCCAGATGGAGAGCAGTTCAGCATCTAACCTGAATGCGCAGATACCTCTGCCACTGCTTAAACTGAAGAAATAAACACGCAAAATCATACACAACACAAAAACAGAGAAAGAGCGGTTCCTGTGACATGAATGCACAAGATCCTGTTCTACAACACAATCAAGTCAGAGAAGTGAATTAGCTGGACTATTTTTATTGAATGATTTCAGCTAAAGAAAGTTAAACTTATACTACCATATTATGTATTAAGTATATCAACACATTCAACAGCATTGGATGTTTCAGATTTTCCCAATTCAAGCAGAATGGGCCTATACTTTCTTGTTTGTAACCATGACAGAAAATAGCTGACTGAAGGCATTGCCAAGATTGGCTGAGTGACTTGCCTTAAAAGGGTTATAAAACACTTTATAATAGCTTTCATTACTCATTAACAAATACTGTTTTATAATGCTTGACAGATTATCAGTAATACACACTACTGTTTCAAAGGTTTGGGGTCAGTAAGATTTTTTTAAATTGCTTTTAATTGCTCTTATGCTCACCAAGGTTGCCTTTATTTGATCAAAAACGCAGTAATAACAGTAATATCGTGAAGGATTATTCCAATTTACAATAACTGTTTTCTATTTTATATATTTAGAAATGTAATTTATTCCTCATTTTAATTTGCAGATTTGGTGCTCAAGAAACATTTCTTAATATCAATGAATACAAAGTTCAAAAGAACAGCACTTTTTGATCATTATAAATGGCTTTGTCACTTTTAGTTTAATGCATCATTTGCTGAAAAACAGAAATATTAATAAAAAATAAAAAATTAATTAAAAAAAACGACTGACCCCAAATTTTGATCCGTAATGCACATTTAAGTTCCTAACAAATGTTGTGTGTCGTGTGTGTGTGTGTGTGAGAGAGAGATTGTCTTACCTTAATACCCTCCAGCACTGGTGCAGTATCTCGTAGTGTTTCTGAATGGATGGCTAACAGACTTGTTATAGCACTTGCATATCATTGGTCTTTTGTTAATTTTGTTTGCTTCCATTGTCCTCATTTGTAAGTAGCTTTGGATAAAAGCGTCTGCTAAATGACTAAATGTAAATAAGATTTAACTTATTAAAATATTTAAAAAAAAAAATATTTTAATAATGTCATAATATAATATATATATATTTATTTAATATATATCTCTCTCTCATATGAAGACATGTTGGGCAAAGATACTTCTTTCAAAACAATTTAAAAAATTGGAATGTTAAACTGAAAACTGCATATTGTGCTGTACAATCTAACTTGGACAATTATTTCATATTCGATTAAATTATTTAACTTAAAATAGCATACTACTGTTATAAATAAGACAATGCAAAAAAAAATTGACTCTTCTTAAAAACACAATCTCATTTGAGTAAAGACAGGTTCTAACCTTGTCATCTGCACGGATGGCTCGGAGTTTCATGATGAGCTGAAAGCGTAAGAAATTGTTGGTGCCGATGGACTGCAGCTCCAGAAGCTTGCACAGAGCCACCAGCTGCGGCCGTGTCAGGTTATCTAAGGTCAGTTCATCTTCAAACAGTTTAGAGAAACGTATGATCTGCTCATTACTGGGTCTCTCTCCTGAGTCACGGATCTGAGAGAGAAGAGTAAGGGTAAGAGAGAGAAAGTTCTCATTCAAAAAAAGCTCTCATTCATGGTACTTATGAGATAGCATTCATAAGCACCACCACATGGGGGCAATACAGCACTATTTAGAATCACTTGGGAGAAGCAGTAGTGTTGTTTTTTCAGGATGAGTTCTGAGCAAGTGTGACTATGATCTACCTTCTGAAAGAAAGTGGAGAACTCCTCGGTCACGTTGCCTTTGGCTGCTTTGTTTCTTAGTGCAATCTCCTCAATTGTGTCCTGCAAGAACTTGGCCATTTCTAACTTCACTCTCAACTCCTTCTTTAGTCTTTCCTCCTGCAGAGAGAGAGAGAGAGAGAGAGAGAGAGAGAGATGATACAAGGTCAAATAGGTTTGGTACAGGTATTGTATAAGTGGATGCATAAGAGGTGTGACTAGGACAGAAATACAATTAAGGTCTTTACAGATTAAACTCAAAAGGTCAGCGTACCTTTTTGGACTGTGTCTCAAAGGTGGAAGGCAACATGTTAGGGAAAAGTTTCAGTGCAACAGGAAGCAGAAACTCCATAAATGGAACGATGATAAAGACCAGAAAGGGCAGAAGCCGGAAGACATCTGCACACGTCCTCAGGAACTGCAATTAACATGACATAGGCAGTGATGTCAGCAGATTGCTGCTTTGGTGATGAAATGCAATTATTAATCAGTGGTGGAAATCTAATCTCTAGAACTAAAAATGAAGTACAACCCCTCAAATCCCTGTCATGAAGTGCAAAGAACCGACTCTCCAGAGTGGTCTGCTCTGGCAGGACTACATAAGAGAGTAAAATTAGAGCTCTAATCCAGCTGGGAGGTGAAAAGAGTCAGAGTCAAGAGTTCTCTCTAAAACTTTTCCTATCTACTGTTTGGGTAAAGAACCTCATATCCTGTCCCTATTTCACCCCAAAATCAAAAGAAAGAAGCCTATTTTGCCTAAGAAGCTTTTGTTTAAAATTGATTTTCTACATTGCAACATTATTTTCATGAAAGTTAAGGACATTTAACATCATGTCCATCAATTTTAATTAGTGTAATGCAAAAACAATCATTATTGTCATACAAAAGTTAACTATGAAGCTTATACATCATGTTTGATAAACTGCATTAAATGTATGATTTTTAAAATAATAATATAATTATTTACAATACTTCTTGTTTACATAAATGAGAATGAGAATCACCAGAACAAAAAAAAATATTGTTAAAAATATTAATGGTCCTAGAAATATTAATATTAATCCCAACTTCCAATTGTATTTATGTATTTATTTATTTTTGTCAAATGTAACCTAGTTGCTTTTATGTATGATTCACTCCTGTAAAGTAAAAATAAATAAATACAACTTAAAAATGAAAAACAGACAGTAAAAACAAAACAAATTTAAGTTAAAAAAGGACAGCTCTGAGACATCAGGTAAAATACAATAAAACAAATCGAAATAAATACAACTTAAAAATGAAAAACAGACATCTGCACAAAAAAGATAATTAAAATAAAATAATATATAAATAAAATAATTAGTTAAAATAAAAGAAAAAACAAAGAAAAAAAAATAGATCTGAAATGTGAGTGAGCAGAGACTAAGAGACTAAGTCAAGCCATCAGTGCATCCACTCCCCATGGCAAAAACTGACTTTCTGAATCACCCCATATCTAATATATAGCTGATGAAACATGATGCATTTAGAAAATGAGAGGTTAGATGACAAAGGAGCTTCAGCTTTATAAGAGGGGTCCCTGCTCCCCTTATTCCACCTGTGTGTCAGCGCTCCTATAGGGAAGAATTTAAACCAGGCAGGCCTGAAAAGAGCCTTTGTGTTTGGCCCATTGAAATGTATATCACCACAGGCAGAGAGAGAGAGAGAAAGAGCGCGAGGGGGAGAGAGGAGGAAAACAGGGAGGCCTGGAGTGTGAAATATTCAGGGACGAGTGAGTGGGATGGAGAGTGAAGGCATTCGAAAGGAAGAGAGCAGGACAGAGGGCATGGGAAGGGGGTTGATGACTGACATCAAAAGCTAAAGGAACCCACGCTGTGCGAGGCCAGTTGTGAATAGGCAGGATTAAGAATGAAGCCGGTCAGAAGAATAGCGAGAGTGAGGTGCGACAGATGCTAGCTGAGGCAGAGGCATTAGCATACCTCGCAATGCTAATGTTGACAGAGCTCACAACATAAAGAAATCCTCAGTAAGCTCTTGATAACAACTAACCATGACTACCCAAACATGAGTGTTATACAAGCTGTAGACGTTTTTGGACCAAATGCTGTGGGAAAAAAAACTCTCAAGAAAATCTCCCAAGGCTTTAGGAATGTAATAATGTGATTTTTGCTTGTTTTCAGTTAGTAAACAGATTTTCGGAAGAAAATGTGAATAGTGCTTGCCTGTGCAAAACAACAACAAAAGCTTTTTAGTTAACGTTTGAAAATAAAGAAATGAAATAATACAATTATTATTCGTTTCATAAATATTATTTTTTGTATTTTATTTTATAAATTTGCATTACAATATATTTTATTATAATATTTAACATAATAGACAATATACAATTAATAATATAAAATAGTAATATTTATTATTTTATTTAATATTTTAATTTAGTAGTGGCAGTAATCATAATAATAATAATTAATATTATTATATTTATATGGTCATACTCATATATAGTCCGATATAATTTTTGACAGGAAAATTATATCTGACTATAAATTGTGCAGACCTACAAACAAGTGTTAGATAGATAGATAGATAGATAGATAGATAGATAGATAGATAGATAGATAGATAGATAGATAGATAGATAGATAGATAGATAGATAGTATAAGCAATAAAAAGTAAAAGCAATAATAGTGACACCATTAATGTTTACAATGATTGCTTGCAGCAAATGTTTGTCAAATGTTTGCCAGAAGACCAAATTTTAAGGGCGTGTTTCTATCTCTGTGGCTTCATGTAACTGTCACCAGAGTAAAACCAAACATCACTCTTCTCAGTACTATTGCCATGACTGTGGAGAAATGATAGGAGTAATGTAGTGGATAATGTTGGGCATTAATATCCTAGCAACCCAAGGACGGACAGTTCATTCTGAGAGAGTGACAGAGTGAGCTGTGACACAAAGCCAGAGCAATTTCCAGTACGTACTGACTTAGAACGCAATGGAGGCCTCCAACGGTTATAGATTATATGCGTCACTAAAGTGTCACTTTACAACAGGCTGAGTTATGCAACTGTCTGAGAATTTGAGGCTGGGAAGGTATTAGCACTGTGCTAACATAGCCAATCATGTAATACAACGTGTGATAACTGCAATCTTCTGTGTGCTTGAAAACTCAAATATAATACAGAAGAGCAGTAACCTTGTATTTACACTAACAAGTTTGGGGTCGGTATGATTTTTTAATGTTTTTAAAGTCTCTTATGCTCAGCAAGGCTGCATTTATTGGAAAAATACAATACATCTGTCATATAATGAAAAATTATTACGATTTAAGCTGAATTTTCAGCATCATTACCCCAGTCTTCAGTGTTACGTGATCTTTCAGAAATCATTCTAATATACTGATTTGCTGCTCAAGAAACAATTCTTACTATTAATGCTGAAAACGTTTTTTTTTTTTTTAGACATCTGCACAAAAAGATCTTTGATTAATAGAAAGCTAAAAAAAACATCATTTATTTGAAATAGAAATATTTTTTTTAATAGATTTTTAAAATAAATAAATAATAAACTTGTATAATATAAGTAAGCTTAAAACTTTTTAAATGGTAGTTGATAACTTTGTGGATTTTGAAAGTACTTCTTAAAAAAGTGAGCTTTGTTGCTTTCTGTGGGGGGAAAAACCATGGCCATGTTGCTGTGACTGATGGGATGTTCTTCTGGGTGGTTTCTTACTGAACTAAGTCAAAATGCTTTGATGTAGGTCTGTTTTTTCACCATTTTATTGTCCGCCAGAAATGATAAGTTCAATCACTTAATAAAGGTAATATAAAGCTAATGCACTGGACCTCAATTAACCGCTCTCTTACTTCTGTCCTAAGGACAACATTTTTCAGCTGGACATCACTTTACAGGGTTCAGCCTGCGGCCAACTATGTGTCAATGTGAGCCATACTGATCTATCAATCATTTAAGTTGCGATTATAGGATATGAATGAATGAGTGGGATTAAATGTATCCTAACTAAATGTAAATAGTATTTCATCTTAAATAAAAGAGTTGTTAAATTGGACTTAATGGATTTTTTTTATCCTAAAGGCCTCAGGAATCCCATGTGAGCTAGTTAAAGTGTCTTTGGTCTCCCCTGGACTCCTGACTTGCAGGA